CAGGATGGTATTTAATTGTGACTTGAAATTTTGCATTACTTTTATGATTTTTTTTTTTCAAAAAAAGTCGTAGGATTCCCAAGTGAAGTTTTTCTCAGTTACATATGTTTCCAGCCTTTGGATTGATAGTACACATCTTTGACATAGTCAGAATGCTTTTCATCATTAATAATAACCTTATATTATATAGAAGAACTCTTAAACTGTTCATGCACTGTTAGGTTTTTTCATTCAGGCTGCAGGCTGAAAAAAAATAATTAAACAGGTCCCCTTATCCATGCTATACAGCACTGATAGATATAGCTATACCTTCAGGTATACCTCGAAATACTCAAACAGCAGCTGCATCTGATTGGATGCAGCCACTGTCTGGATGAAAATGGTACATCCGACTCCTTCAGTTTCTTAACAAAGGATGTTGGGCGATAGGAGGCCGACAGGGCCACCCATGTAGCGAATTGTGGCCAGTTTATTAAGAACCAGCTGAAATTCACAGTATATGGCCAGCTAAAAAGCAGTACGTTTTTTCATTTTGGATAGAGTAAGGGAAGGTTTTAACTTCTGTGAGAGTCCCATTGGGGAGAGTTGCTTTTTCTTTCTGTCCCATAGCCAAGACAGGAAGTGAGAGGAAATCCTTCCAAAGCAAGGGAATCCCTGGGTGTCACCAGAACTAGTGTTCCCATTGGAAGATTTTCCACTTATGCCAGTTTTGGGGACAAACTAAAATTTCAGATTTTCTTTTGCTTTCACACTATGTGATAACGGTAAACAGGAAAATAGAGAAGATGACTCTCCCTAATGGTGGCACAGACAGGTGTTTTAATCTCTGTCTTCTTTGAAACAACGCCTACTGACCAAAATAGATGTATTACAAAAAATAGTAACATATTTCACATGAACCCCAAGGCCTTGGATACACTAATGTTTTTATGTCAGTAAATGATGAAAAATGCAGTTTTGAGTAGTACTGCTCAGAAGAAAATGGCTTTTATTTAACCATTAGCCGCCCGGCCTATAGCCGTTTGGCGGCGGCAAAAATGCATCAGCTTTCCGGGTGCACGCCATTTGGGTTGATAGTACACTCTATAACTCTATAACTTTCCTAAAAACTAAATAATACATCCTAATTTGGGTTATTTTCACCAAAGACATGTAGCAAAATACATCTCGGCCTAAATTTATGAAGAACAATTATTTATTTGTAAACTTTTATAACAGAAACAAAGAAAAACGTGTTTTTTTTTCAAAATTTTTGGTATTTTTTGGTTAATTTAGCAAAAAATAAAAACCCCAGCGGTGATTAAATACCACCAAAACAAAGCTCTAGTTGTGTGAAGAAAATGATAAAATTTTAGTTTGGGTACAATGTTGTATGACCGCGCAATTGTCATTCAAAATGTGAGAGCGCTGAAACGTGAAAAATGGCCTGGGCAGGAAGGTGTAAAATTGCCCGGTATTGAAATGGTTAATAGATCCACTGTTCCCCACTGCTCTGGAGACTGGACAACCAACATAAAGTGCTGTATGTTGTCCTATTCAATGATGGTGCTCCTGTTCAGCTCAAGATCAGTATGGACATGGGGTCTTGCTGTTTAGGAAAAGAGGTGGGAAAAAGGTGCCCATGTATCCTTGATTGTTTAGCTCACAAAAAACTGACACATCAGTTTTTGGTATATGCTAGAGTGGTAAAACAACAGTTTCTTACATCTTATGAAGATGAGATATTTCCGCTTTTGATTCTTCAGGAATTATAAAGATATCTCACTCTTGGAGTATCCAAGACATTTATGATGATAAGGGTTGACTAAGCCCACCAAGTGCCATCTCTAATAAAAACATCTATTTTGAGTAGATTGACCACACAGTTATTGTCCTGGGCTATGTTACTAATGCAGCCCATAGATTATGTCATCTTTCTTCCTTTCACCAGGCATGGAAGGAAAGAAAATTGCTCGATTACCCCATTAACGCAGTCAGTGTTTATGGGGGGAATTTCTTCCTCAGTGCTGTTGTGTTCTGTCAGCAGGTAACCTTCCCCAGCTGGCAGAACATAATGATCACTGCTGGCAGCTATAGCCATCGGCAGTGATTGCATGATAAAAATGAACTGGCTTATGGCTAGAATATAGTAGAGCACCTGGAAATGTTTTCCATAGCAGTCAAATCATTGGCTTAATTTACCTGTACCCTCCAGATTTATGACAACAGTATTATGAATGGCCAATTTAGGCAGCTCCACATTCTTTTAATACAAATGTTTCTTTTAAATCAGTTCCAGTTGTTTTTTTTATGTGAATAGCTTTGCTTTTAGAGTAGACTATGTCTTCTGTCTTTTTTTTTGCTACTTTTGATGTGATTGTGTTCAGGGCTCAGTCTCTTGTCCTGATGCCCATCTGAATGAATAATATAGGTATGGCTCTAGAGACAGCCAGACATTAGAAATCAAAAGATCAAAATGTTACAAATATAAAATATTGAATTCAGTTTTAATTCAAGGATGGTGAATCTTAGGACCAACCCTTCGTTTAGTTAGGCAGAGGGAGGTTTTTCTATCTATAATGTATATTTTTAATAGTTTACTTGCCAGTTAAGTGCCTCTAAAAATGAAATCACTCTTGTGTGTCATTTACATGCAAGACAAGTACCAGACTCAGACATGAATCTTCCTATGGGAGTCCATTGCCCTCGCTATAAGTTTAAGAAGATTGTTCATTTGACTAACCGGAATGAACCTTTTTTCCTTTTTTTCTGCAAAGCATTCTTAACTAGCTATTATTCATAATGAACTGTGTAACTGTTTTAATTATAGTATTACACTGAGTGCACTTTTAAGGTACCCAAATTACATCAATCAGTGCTGATCACTATATAAAATGCCATATCGTTACTCCTAGGAAAGAACGTATTAATTGTAATCAGTCAAAAATGTTTAGCTTGCATATTGTCCCAGACAGACTTGGAGGGTTGCCAGTTAGCCGATATAAATTTAGAGAAGATGAAAAAAAATAACTCCCAGGCCTAGGAACTATTGAACTGACAACAAACCTGCTATTGTCATTTAGGGAATTGCTCCTTTTAAATATTTTATTTTACTTGAAGGCCAGGTGTTTGTAAATGCACAAAAGGAAAAATCAATATATTATAATTATACTTCAGAAAGGCATTAAATATCTCTTGTGTATGACTTATGCCCGGTACACACTATAAGGTTTTTTTTTTTCATTCAACCCAGCGGGCCGAACAAAAAAAAGAAAACTTACAGATCCCTGGACTAACACAAGTGGTATTAATAAAGCAATCACTCCTTTTGTGCTATTGTGTTCTGACAGGGGGACTGCCCCCTCCCCCCCAACAAGAACACGCTGGTCAACACTTTCAGGCATTGGCTGAGAGCACTGATTGGAGACCGAGCGGCAGACCTTTTTCGGTCATGCCACTTGTGTTTGAACGGGGCGATACCACCAGATATTTGGCCCATGTTTACGGGGCTTTAGCTTAAATGGTAAAAAAACCTATATACTGTGTGATGACGGCCACCCTTGACTATAATCTGATTTCACAGTGGTTGTGCAATATCCTTTAGATTTTCCAGAAACTTTCCAAAAACTTTGGGTTCATGAAGCTGCATTAGTATTTAGAACTCCTTAACATGAACTATCAGGAAGCCAGTGGGGCCAATTAGGAGTCCTGAATTCTCCTGTGCTTACAAAGAACAAGCTGACAGCAAAAGGAGCAGAGAGATGACCCTAACGGTCTGCTGCTGCTGCTTCTTCAATGTCCAATAACAGGATAACCTAGCTGTGTTGCTCAACTGCAGGAGATAAAAGACATGCAACCAACCTGCCTGTGGTCATAGCATGGCTGTGTAAATCTCAGGACTAGAAAGACAAAAATACAAATCAGTTCAGTTTTTAGTATAAACCACTTTATAGCTTTGAGTACTTTGAGTACAAACTAGAAAATGTAACCAATTGATGAATTTGTTGTTACAAGCAACTCAGTCCATTCTTACATTTTTAAACATTGCCCGCTTGAGTTTTCCTTAAATATTGTTTAATTGGTAGATAGGAAGCATATTTTAGATACAAATGTATAAGAATGATTTAAATATTGTTCCTGCCTCTTTCTTTAGATACTCTTCAAAATATTTCCAGTCAAATTTAGGACTTCCAAATGATTTTTCTGTTGAGTCTATGTACTAGCAGAAAATGGGCTTCCAACGGTTCTCCAGCATGTCAGTCATTTGATTAGCTGCAGATCCAATGGCAGATGTATTCATTTTTGAATGACATCATAGTCTTTACAAATGACCTCTTGCTTAATTTGTGGCAAGAATACATTGATGATGCATAATGATCTATGCTACATGACTAGGTTTGCGTGCATCAGTTTTTCCTCTTTATGTTATTTAAATGCTAAAGCGATTATTTCAAATTTTACCAGTTTGAATTCATTAAAATTAACAAGTTAGAATATGCATTTAGGTTTAGGGTGGTATGATGCCTACTTTGCAGATTACTTCTTTTGCATTTTGAATAGTAGTTACAAAGTAGGCAACATTTACTTGTGACTGAAACAGATTTTATGTGCTAGCACAGTGCCATGAAAAGTTGTACCTTATGGTTCACTTGTTTTGCTTAAAAGAAAATACACGTCCCAAGCTATACAGATACTGGGATACTGTTGTACACACTCTCAGTCGGGCATTTCAAATGATTCTTACTGCTGACCCACTACAATATGTGCTTGGCATTTTAGATGATGTGGTGTCTGATGCCCTTGTTAAATAAAGAGGCTGTATCTATAGCCCGGTTTCAGGCACAGATTCTGTTCCATTGGAAAAGTTCATCCGCTCCATCCCCACAAAGAGCGGGTCATCCATACTGGCACCTGGAATGATAACTACTTATAATATGTCTCCCTTCCTTTGTTTATTATGTACTTAGTGAATTTTTGTAAACATAACTTTCTGTTTTATTCTGAGGATTCACCATGATGCGATAGAGTGCTGACTAGATTATTTTAGGTAGGATATGATAGTATTTTGCTACCTCCCACCTGGCCTATTGTTAGCCTCCCTGGCGGTATTCCCGAGTGCAGCTCGGGGTAAAGTTTCAGTACCACAAGCGGTAACCTCGAGCTACACTCGGGCTTACCATGCAGCGCTGCTCCGCGATCCCTCGATCACTTACCTTGTCCTGCGCTCCCACGATGTCCCCCCTGCAGTGCCCCGGCAATGTAATCCAGCGGATGCCGGCATCTGTCATCTGGGTTCTGTCCCCTGCGAGCGTCGGGACGTACGGGAGATGGAACGGCGTGAAATTTGAAAATGACAAAAAGTGACATTCACTAAAATCATTAAAATCACATAGTAAAACATTGCTGTATCAAACCATTTCACATACATTTTGTTCCGAGTGCTTTGTCCTGTGCCCTGCCTGCATTTTTACTGTTCTTTCTGCCTGGAAACTGAGAAACGTCCATGGCGTCCAAAAAGCGTCCCTTTAGGTCAAAAGCGGTTTTAGACCAGCTAGAGAACAGCGATAGTAAATCAGAACTACTTGCAGAATTGAGTGATAATGATTCATGGGGAAATTCGTCATCAGACACTGAAAACGATTTTGCGACTTTGCTCAGTGATGTGCGAACTTGGCGCTATATTTCAATTTTCAGTGTTTTTGGTTTGATTATATTATTGGATTAAATTTATTATTATTATATTATTATTTTTTATGATTATTTATTAAATTATAATTTATAATTTCTTGTTTCAAGTTTTATCCTACCCGGAATGTTTACTAGACTCTTGTTCGGACAGATTTCAGTGAGTTATTCCTAAAAATTACAGGCCTACAATAAAAAAAAATACATATTTCCATGCAAAAAAATGTACCACTTTGAGCACAGAAATATGGACATAATCAGACCGCTAGGGAGGTTAAATGATGGCTGGGTGGAACTTTCATCTTTCCGGGTGGACGTCATGTGATGTCCTCCTGGAAATGTGCCCCACGGTACAGTGGCATGATCTGTCACCTGCTGTGTCCACCGGACACAGTTGATGACAGATCACCTGTTTTTTCAGAATTTTCAGTCTTTTTTAGCTTTTTTAGCAAATAAACAAAATACCACCAAAATAAGCTCTATTTGTGTGAAAAACATTATAAACATTTCATATGGGTACAGTGTTGCATGACCAGTTGTTATTCAAAGTGCGACAGCACTAAAAGCTGAAAATTGGCCTGGGCAGGAAGGGGGTGAAAGTGCTCAGTATGGAAGTAGTTAACATTTGTATATGGAGGGAGAAGAAATGACATTGCTCTCACCTCCCATACAGTCCCGTGTGTAGAGGAAGGCCTCAGTCATCACGTTGGCCACACCCACTGACGCGTTTCGTCCTGCCCATTGGGGCTTGATCCACAGAGATCATCTTCTACACACAGGACTGTACAGGAGGGAGAGCGGTGTCTTTTCTTCTCCCTCAATGTAAGTTACTGGACTGACACTGGGGCACTGCTCCCCTATATATGCCGGTGAGGTGATTCCTTTGACATTCAGCTTCTGAGCAGTGCCACTACGTCTCATGATTCAGCACTAACATTTGTATATGCTGATGTTTTGAATGTCTTTTTTGTGAGGCTTTCTTATTTTATACCTTAATTGTGGCACAAATGCTCTGGAACATCCTAACGTTTGGTTAATAAACTTTATTTTTTGATAAAAAAAAAAGGAAAATTTTAATTAATTCTTATGATTATTGGGTCTGGAAGGAGGGCAGTTTGTATTGCCTAGCAGTAACCCATCAGATTCTGACTGTAATATTTTCTTAAAGAAGGATGTGATTAGCTAAAATATATAACCCAGAAAAGGCATCCTTCAAAAATGTTGTTCAGTGAGGCTGAGCTCACTGTACAGAATCAGCTACCTTATGTTGACATTCATTATGAACGCTTTAAGGTCTGCTTCACGCTAGTGTGATTTCAGGTGACTTGAGTTGCACAGAATCCCATGGCAATGGAAATCACATTATTTTCAGTGGTGTCTGTTCACATCAATGCGATTTTGGAAAAGGTTCCTGCACTGTTATGGCATGATTCCAATGCAATTTTGGCCCCATAGATTATGCAAACCACATCCTATTAGCGTCCAAGTAGTATGCAAGTAACAAAAAAGTAGCACTGCACTGAAAATCAGATCAAAATCGGATTGCAATAGTGTGAACCTAGCCTAATGGGGTTTTCTTTAAACTTATCCCAGATGATGTTGACCCTTCAGTCAAGTAATATGAACAGGTCCCTAACATGCATAGCCTTTCTGTAAGTAGCAGTAGATCTGGAAAGCTAGACTAGAAATCTGTCCACACAGAAATAGAGGGCCTGAATATTTGAATGGACAGCTCAGATTCCCCTGCAGATGGTACTAAAGATACAGATTAGAACTCACTGCTCTTGGTGTAATGAGAAACAGGAGACCTCTTAGAGATGGGAACTACTCATTGCTCCTGCATAGAAGGGTCTCTACCATTTTTTAATCCTGTTTAATAAAGGCAATAATAATTGGGCTTCTTTACAGTATTATACAAGTTGTAATTCTAATTTTCTGGCAGATAATAATAAAGCGACTTTATATTAAAAAAAAAAAAGACAGAACAATTTTCTTTTCAAAAGCATTTTAAGAAACTCTGAAAAACTAAGCAAAGTTGAGACCTTCTGTGCAAGTCAGGTTTTGGTCTGTTCTTGTTAAATCTCTCCAAGTGTGTTTACACAAAGTTTGACTTTCTGGTATTTCGTTGCTTGCACAGACCTGATCCACACCTATTTTGAGTCAACAGTGGCCAAGAATGGTGCAGAGTAATTAAGCAGTGCAGAACGCAGCAGCGGCAAACTGAGAAGTATGCCCTCAGAGACCTCTTCTCCCTTACATCACATTACAGCCCCAGGCCATGCCTCCATAAAACAAACAGAGTTTTTTAGACCTTAAAAAGCCAGTCTGAAATATTGAAAATGGGGCAAATGTTGCCTCCTTGTTGGATAAAACAATTTTCTCTTCTTAAAAATGAAGGAGAGCCAGAGGCATGAGGGAAAGAAGTGCAATTGAAAGCATACATTGTGCAGAATGCAGTGTGTGTGTGTGTGTGTGTGTAAATGATGCATTGCCTTCTCTGTCAGCTTTGAAAATTAAGAGATTCCTTTCACTTAAGGAGGCGACAGTACACTTAAAATGAAATCTGGGTCATTTAACAGTTTTCACTAATATTTTATAAGGCATGTGGGTGTTTGTCTATTGTAACCTGATAGGGCTTCCTCTGTATGTTGCCAGACTATACTGTTTTTTTTTCTTCATATATATCCATTCTGTGTTATTAGTTAAAGGGCAAGTAAACCTACATATAAAAACTACAGGTATGAACTTTGAAGGAATTTACAAAACTAGACATTTTTAGGATAAAGCTACTACATTGAAGGTTGTGTTTTCTTTTAAGACTCTTTTAAACTAAAACAGGTGATAACATAGAGACACGGACAACACCCTAAGGGGTGATTTACTAATACTGGAAAATACAAAATCTGGAGCAGCTCTGCATAGAAACCAATCAGCTTCCAGTTTTTTCTTTTTGTCAAAGAAATTGAACAAGCTGAAATTAGAAGATGATTGGCCACCATGCAGAGCTGCATCAGGTTTTGCACTTTCCAGTTTTAGTAAATCAACCCCTAAATCCGGCAATAGACAGTGCAATTTCCTTTTTCTTGCAAACACAGGTTTCAGAAAAGAAAATCTCTTGATTCCCCCATCAACACAGTCAGTGTTGATGGAGGAAATCCCTCCTGTGGAGCCAATGTGTTCAGATGGGGGAGCCATCACCTCTGGGAGAACTAGTGATTACTGGTAGCAGAAATATTAGGTACTAGCAGTAATTGCATGTAAAACCTGACAGGCTAGTTGTACCCAAGTTGATTGATCAATCCACTTGGGTGCATTCAACCTGCCCATACATGGGTGGATTCAAACTGTCTATGACTGGCTTAAGTGTGAATGCAGTATCAAACAAGTTTTTATTAGTTTCCTCATTGTCAATGGTATTCACAACTCTCTGGCATAAGGAAAACATAAATTGTGAGCTATCGCAGTAAAGGAGAATTCTAGTAATTATAAAAAATATTCCATAGTTGAATTACTGGTAAACATCAAGTATCCTGAAACAATGAAAGACGTGAATCAGTATTATTGCAGCTTTTGTCTTTAAGAAAGCCCAAAGCATAGTGTTTGAATTGCCCTGTTTTCCTTGGGCAGCTGGTCCAGATTGTGCCTCACCGACTCTAAGCTTTTTTTTTTTTTCTGTCTCATAATCCCCCCTTTTGGCGGTCTGTGTAAAGTTTTGCCATGCTGTAGGTGTGCTGGTTCACTGGCTGTTTCACATATTAAAACCATAACCCACTGATGAGTCTGGGCAATTACACGGGCAGCAGTGTTGCTGTTCATAGTACCACCCAAACACCACCAACAAGAGAATACCCATGCATGCCAACATGATTAGTTAGCTGGAAGCATCACTGGGACAAGTGGTACAAGAAATTACATTGACATCTCAAGCAAGAGACATTTGCTGGCCTGCAGTAGATTCCCACAAATTTGCATTTTTTGCAGTTTTGGAGTTGTTGCACTGCATCAAGTGACTCACACTTGAAAATAAGTTTAGCCAACACCTTATATTATTTGTTTGAACACTTTTTCTTCTTTAGCAAATTGAATTACCTGGTAAATGTTCTGTCTATGTCTATGCCAGTGTAAAAATTTATGTGCAGTTAGATCTTCCTAATTTGTTGCAGTAAACATGATTTTAAGACAAACCAATGTCAATCAGTGTGCAAAATCAGTTGCAGACTTTTACAAATCTGAAGCAATGTGTTCAGGTGAAGCCAATGTTTCAGTTTGATGTTTTATTGGGTTACATGTGTGCCTGAAAACAGCTTTTGCTGCAGAAAGTGGTACTAATAAATTATTGTGTTTTATGCTAAAATATGTATGAATATCACAAAGTCAAATGTGTAACCCACATTCTGTAAACTTTAAAGAGTAAGTGAAGTCTCAGCTTGGTATAAATATTTATCAAATGCTTTGTAGTGGAAGAATGCACATGAAATAACTCCAGGGTTATGTAGGCTTGCATATTATAAGCTTAGTAAGCCACTGTCTAACATATCAGACAGTGACTGACGTTCAGCAGTCTTGTCTTGTGTACATTGGTGGATTCCAACGCAAGGGAGGAACACAGGAATATGAGGATATCACAGCAGCTCAACTAACAGTATACTATTTTTAATATTTAGCACTTATGAGTG